GCTGCCCGTGAGTTACTGTACCCAGCTTGTGACCCCGACCACTCTCCCGCCTGTTCCCGGTACTCCGTTTGCTACTGACCCGGCCTGCCTGACTATGCTTGCATTGTATGTATTGTTATCTGTGGTTGGTTTGGTTTGTTTGCACTGTGTTTAGGTTTAGTTTTGCACTGCGTTTTGTATTGTTAGTATTAATAAATTATATTGTTTATAACATATCTGAAGCCTGCGTTTCCCTGCAATTGCCTGGGTTCCCTGAGATCTGAAAATTATTTTAAGGGTTCACCTGGGGTAGATAGATTGAGAAAGGCTGCCCTACACTATAAGGAATCTCCCACATCTCCTCCTTTTTCTGATGGCCACTTCAAGCCATGCTTTGGGTCTTCATTTTGCTTTTTTGGACCCAGGAGGACCACCGCCATTCGAGCCCCGAGGGCAGAACTTTCTATATATTCAGCTGTTTGCTTGAGTTCAGCTGCCAAGACACCTCACCTTCCAGCTTTTAGAAACTGTGAGCAGTATAACGGAGAATAATTGGCACAGATGGAAACAACATCTGAACGGTAAAAAGACATTTTCTGCAAACCATACAAAACAGCAGCCGTTAGAGACCTTCATACCACAGCTACAGCCGGTCAGGAGGAGGTGCCGAGGACTGCTAGGTGAGCAGCTAACATAGTGCGTCATTTACTAATCCCCCGTACTACTGCAAGTCATAAGAGGAGAAGTAATAAATTAGAGAGAGAAGCCGCTGATCGGTATTAATGATCATAGAGGTATTATATTGCCGATTTCAGCGGCAGGTCGGGATGAATAAACAATTCGGATCCAATTAGCCTTTTCCATCAGACAAATTAAAAACAGAGGAGCAAGAATGTAAAGCGATGACCTCAAGTAGAAAACGTAATGAGACTCATTTGTAACAGCCGGAGGAAGGGCCAAGTGCAGGTGCTACTTGTATCAACCATACGGTACATACGGTACTTTTAAAAAAAAAAATGTAAGGAGCATTCTTCCCACTGATCACCAATGTAAGGGACATTCTTCCCACTGATAACCAATGTAAGGGACATTCTTCCCACTGATCACCAATGTAAGGGACATTCTTCCCACTGATAACCAATGTAAGGGGCATTCTTCCCACTGACCCCCAATGTAAGGGACATTCTTCCCACTGACCCCCAATGTAAGGGACATTCTTCCCACTGACCTCCAATGTAAGGGACATTCTTCCCACTGACCCCCCCCCAATGTAAGGGACATTCTTCCCACTGACCACCAATGTAAGGAACATTCTTCCCACTGACCACCAATGTAAGGGACATTCTTCCCACTGACCACCAATGTAAGGAACATTCTTCCCACTGACCCCCAATGTAAGGGACATTCTTCCCACTGACCCCCAATGTAAGGGACATTCTTCCCACTGACCACCAATGTAAGGGACATTCTTCCCACTGACCACCAATGTAAGGAACATTCTTCCCACTGACCCCCAATGTAAGGAACATTCTTCCCACTGATCACCAATGTAAGGGACATTCTTCCCACTGACCACCAATGTAAGGAACATTCTTCCCACTGACCCCCAATGTAAGGAACATTCTTCCCACTGACCACCAATGTAAGAGACATTCTTCCCACTGATCACCAATGTAAGGGACATTCTTCCCACTGACCACCAATGTAAGGGACATTCTTCCCATTGTCCCCAATGTAAGGGACATTCTTCCCACTGACCCCCAATGTAAGGGACATTCTTCCCACTGACCCCCAATGTAATGGACATTCTTCCCACTGACCCCCAATGTAAGGGACATTCTTCCCACTGACCACCAATGTAAGGGACATTCTTCCCACTGACCCCCAATATAAGGAACATTCTTCCCACTGACCACCAATGTAAGGAACATTCTTCCCACTGACCCCCAATGTAAGGGACATTCTTCCCACTGACCCCCAATGTAAGAGACATTCTTCCCACTGATCACCAATGTAAGCGGCGTTCTTCCTACTGACCCCTAATGTAAGGGACATTCTTCCCACTGACCACCAATGTAAGGGACATTCTTCCCACTGACCCCCAATGTAAGAGACATTCTTCCCACTGATCACCAATGTAAGGGGCGTTCTTCCCACTGACCCCCAATGTAAGGGACGTTCCTCCATATTAATGATCATAGAGGTATTATATTGCCGATTTCAGCGGCAGGTCGGGATGAATAAACAATCTGGATCCAATTAGCCTTTTCCATCGGACAAATTGAAAACAGAGGAGCAAGAATGTAAAGCGATGACCCAAGTAGAAAACGTAATGAGACTCATTTGTAACAGCCGGAGGAAGGGCCAAGTGCCGGTGCTACTTGTATCAACCATACGGTACATACGGTACTTTGAAAAAAAAAAATATGTTGAATTATAAAAAAAAAGATTAAAAAAAATTTACATCTGCAAAAATTCCTGTAGAGGAAATAAGAAGGGAAAATCTGTTCCCTATCTCTAACTGTAGCGGAATAAATCCTTGGATGAAAGCGTTGATGCAACGTCGTCGTAAAGGCTGAACTAAAATCTTCAGGGATAAGCAGGGCTAGATTAACCATTATGCAAATGAAGTGCATGCTTGGGGCCCCAGGGGGTTTTTCCTCTAGCTGTCATGCCCTTTTTATTTTTGCCCCCTTACCCTGAGCTAACTGATTCCACCTTCCCTTCCACTGATGTATTTTTACCAACGAACCTAACTGCCACAACCTGTGTTGTTTATTCACATCCCACGCCATGGGTCTCCTCCCTTTTGGCCCAGGCAAGGAGCAGTAGATCTCCACACACATCTATCCCCCCAGAGCTTGCTGAGTCTTGTCAGTTTAGAAGTGGAGGGGCCGGGGGGAAGCTGGGCCTTGTTGAGCTGTGTTTAGGGCAATAGAGGGGCTAAGGGGGGGAAACCATTTTTGGGCTGTGTTTAGGGCAATGGAAGAGCCAAAGGGGATCCATTGTTGAGCTATGCTTAGGGTTATGGAGGGGCTAAGGAGGGCACCGTTGTTGAGCTGTGCTTATGGTAATGAAGGTGCCTAGTGGGGTACAATTGTTGAGCTGTGCCTATGGAAATGGAGGGACCAAGAGGCAAACCATTGTTGGACTCTGCTTAGAGCAATAGAGGGGCCAAGGAGGAACAATTGTTGGACTGTGCTTGGGGAAATGGAATGGACAAAGGGGCCACCATTGTTGGCTGCACTTAGTGGAATAGAGGGGCCATGAAAGGTGCCATTTTTGAGCTGTGCTTAGAGAATTTGAGGTCTTGTCAGTTAAGCAGTGAAGGTGCCAAGGGGAGGAAACATTGTTGAGCTGTGTTTAGGGCAATGGAAGGGCCAAAGTTGATCCATTGTTGAGCTATACTTAGGGTAATGATGCTAAGGGAGGCACTGTTGTTGGGCTGTGCTTATGGTAATGAAGGGGCCTACTGGGGTACAGTTGAGCTATGCATATGGCAATGGAGGGGCCAAGAGGCGAACCATTGTTGGATTGTGCTTAGAGCAATGGAGGGGCCAACTGGGGAACAATTGTTGGACTGTGCTTGGGGAAATGGAGTGGCTGTCAAGGTCCTACCTTTTCCCTGAGGTTATGTTACTCCATGTGCTGGCGTCCATCTTGGAATTCTGCTGTGCATGGTGGGAATCCTTTTATGCCTTCAGGTCTCTGAGGTCCATCCCCCAGAGGGGTGTGGCTGATGACATATAAGCCTGTGGCCCGCACATGCTCTTTGCACTTGTGTCTTATGTCTTGGTGTTGCTATTACTCTGTTCTGACTCTCGTGACTCTCCTGGTAACTGATTCGGCTTGTGACTCGAATATTCTTTGTATTCTCCTTTGATCTGACCCTCTGTTGCTGAACCCGGCTCGTGACCTGTGATTCTCGTCTGCTGTCCTGTACTGTTTTGTCCTGTTGTTGTTGACCCGGCCTGTCTGACTACTCTTTTGTCTCTTCCACCAGCTACACGCCATTGGCGGCGGCCATTACCGCAGCTGAGGTGTCTCGGGGGCCGCGACCTGGTTCCTGGCTGCGTCAAGTCCATCCCCACCATCAGGGGCCCTGGTGAAGGGCAGCCTGGGACTTAGACTCCGCGCCCTGAGGGACTTCGGTCTGTGGGTGGTGGTTGTCGTCAGCCAGTGCGTTACATTGTTAGGCCTGCCTGTCCGTTCCTCGGCCCCTGCCCTGACAGTGGCCAAAGGGGCCACCATTGTTGGCTGCACTTGGGGCCATGAAGGGCGCCATTTTTGAGCTGTGCTTAGAGAAATTAAGGGGCCAAGAAGGGCATCATTGTGGAGCTGTGTTTAGAGAAATGAAGAGGCCAAGCGGGGAACCATTGTTGTGCTGCACTTAGGACAATGAAGTGAATCAAGGGGACAATTGTTGGGCTGTGCTTAGAGCAATGTAGCCGCAAAGGGGAAAAATCATTGGACCATGCTTGGGGAAATGGAGTGGCCAAAGGGGGCACCATTGTTGACTGCACTTAGGGCAATAGATGGGCCAAGATGGCATCATTATTGAACTGTGCTTAGGGCAATAGAGTGGCCAAGTGGGGAACCGTTGTTGCTCTGTACTTAGAGCAATGAAGGGAACCAGGGGGGTAAAATTGTTGGGCTGTGCTTAAGGCAATAGATGGGCCAAGAGGACATCGTTGTTGAACTGTGCTTCGAGCAATGAAGGGAACTTGGGGGGGGGGGGGCAGTTGTTGGGCTGTGCTTAGAGTAAAATAGCAGCCAAGGGAGAGACCCTTGAGCTGTGCTTTGGGAAATGGAGGGGGCCAAGGGCACCATTATTTGGCTGTGCTTATCGCACTCAATCAATCCCTGGTGAAAAGGCCCACAGAAGATCAACAAGATACCTTCCTGATCTTCTACATGTTAGTGCAATTCCCTGGTTCAGTCACCCTGATTTCCCACTCGAAAACTGAAAACCATTTGTGATATTGTATATGGTATAGTCCTTTCAAAATGTACTGTTACAGTGCAGGGGTGGACTGACAACTCATGGGGTCCCCGGGCAATAGGGGATCATGGGGCCCCTGTGTCCTTGCCCAAACTCAAAAAAGCCTATGAAAAAGGTACCAGGGGCATCTCATTGGGCCCCCTACTGACCCCGGGCCCTCTGGCAGTGCCCGAGTTTCCAAATGGTCAGTCCGCCCCTGTTTCAGTGGATCCCCAGACAATTTTTTGTTTAGATGGCTTGGATATGAGTTACATTTATTTAAAACCCTCCAACGACATTTAATAGTGATGTGATTCTGCACAAGTACCCCACACTGGCACCTCTTCTGGGCATGGTCTGGATATGCATCACTGGATTTGGCCCTGCCACCAACCAGTCTTGTTACGAGCTTTGGCTGTACTTCTTTAATGCTTTACCACCACTTTAAAATTTTTCTGAAATGTTCTAAGGTGACTGGCACCCAATACTTTTTACCCTCAAAGAGTCAAGGCTTCCACCTTGAGTTTTGAAATGCTAGCCCACTGAGCCACCTAGGACGGGTGTCGGCAACCCGCGGCTCCAGAGCCGCATGCGGTTCTATTTCACCTTGGCTGCGGCTCCGGAGCACACTGCCCACCAGGTGACAGGCAATAGGGCAGCAATGGGCAAACTACGGCCCGGCGGACCTTTTAATCCGGCCCGCGGAGCTAGGCTCCCGCTAGGCTCCTCTCACAGTCCGCCCTGAAGACCGGTGTAGCATGAAAATCTGTCTCCTATGAGGATCTGTCCCCCTCGACGTATCTGCGCATGTGCCGGAGATCGCCGATCGGCTGCTAATGCCTGAAACTGGCACATGCGCAGATACGTCGAGGGGGACAGATCCTCATAGGAGACAGATTTTCATGCTACACCGGAACGGCGCGGGAACACGGCGAGAGGAACGCGCGGAGCAAAGGTATGTGAATTGACACAGGGGGGGACTTGGGGACTTAATATGGGGAATGAATTACTATATGGGGGATGAATTAAAATGGGGGATGAATTACTAAATGGGGGATGAATTACTATGGGGGATGAATTACTATATGGGGGATTAAGTACTATATGGGGGATGAATTACTATGGGGGATGAATTACTATGGGGGATGAATTACTATATGGGGGATGAATTACTATATGGGGGATTAATTACTATATGGGGGATTAAGTACTATATGGGGGATGAATTACTATGGGGGATGAATTACTATGGGGGATGAATTACTATGGGGGATGAATTACTATATGGGGGATGAATTACTATGGGGGATGAATTACTATAGGGGGGATGAATTACTATATGGGGGATGAATTACTATATGGGGAATGGATTACTATATGGGGAATGAATTACTATATGGGGGATGAATTACTATATGGGGGATGAATTACTATAGGGGGGATGAATTACTATATGGGGGATGAATTACTATGGGGGATGAATTACTATGGGGGATGAATTACTATATGGGGGATGTATTTTCAGTTTTAAAAATGTGGCTCTCAAAATAAATTTCAATCGTGGTTTTGGCGAGATTTGGCTCAGTTGAAAAAAAAAGGTTGCCCACCACTGTCCTAAGGCTATGATTGTGATTATGACGATACACTGTGGCCCTGAATAACCCTTTGCTTACTGGGCCCTTAAACCCCCTTCATGACCAGAGCGCTTTTTGCAATATATGCAGTGTCGGATTTGTTTTAAATGTTGCAATGGTTTTGCGGCTCCCAGTCTTTTTTTCCCTCTCGGAAACGGGTCCAAGTGGATCTTTATGTCTTAAAGGTTGCAGACCCCTGACCTAGGAGGTCCTCCTTATCTAGGGGTAAGGGGGTACTACATAAAAAAAGCAAATGTTCACAAAACAACATATTCCTACTTCCGTTGATCAATATTAAAGCTTCTTCAAAGATTGGACCCACACCAAACGAACATATCCAAGCTATACAACTCAACTTTATTTAACAAGAAGCATCTTCTGTACAATAATGTACACTAAAAGAGAATCGGCTGTACAGTTATATACTATATCATACAATGTGCATTAAATAAAAAATATTTTCAGAAGCATTTCCTAGCCACATCCATTGCATCTATCTGCTGTTTCTGTGCATTTCTGTAATAAATAGCTAAGCTGATTTTTTCCTTTACACTTGCTTCTCCGAGCCTTGGTTTGTCCTTTTCACCAACGCTTCCCGGGTATCTGACTGCCACTGCTGCACCAGATCTGTCGGGGTTTTTCCATCCTATGTTGTACACAAAAGGGAAAACAATGTTATAGTATTAGTTAGTATGGGTCAAGGGGGAACAACTGTTTGCCTGTTTAGGGCAATGGAGGGGCCAGAAGAAAAACTGTTGTTAGGGCAAAGAAGGCACCAAGGTGGGCACCATTGCTGGACAATGTGAAATCAAGGTGCCAAAGGAATCACAATTGTTTTGCTGTGCCTAGGGCAATGGGTGGGTCAAGAAAGGTGCACCATTGTTGGGCTGTGCTTAGGGCAATAGAGAAGCCAAGGAAGGCACTATGGTTAGGCTATGCTTATGGAAATCGAGGGGAAAAAGGGGCCCATTTTTGGTCTGTGCTTAGGGCAATGGAGAGGCCAAAGGAGAACTGTTGTTGAGCTGTGGTTAGGGAAATAGAGGGGCCAAAGGGGGGCACCATTTTAATCTGTGCTTAGCGAATTATAGGGCCAAAGGGATAACAATTGTTTTTCTGTGCTTAGCGCAATATAAGGGCCAGGAAAGGTGCCCCATTGTTGGGCTGTGCTTAGGGCGATGGAAGAGCCAAGGGAAAACCATTGTTGAGCTTTGGTTAGGGCAATGGAAGAGCCAAGGGAAAACCATTGTTGAGCTGTGGTTAGGGCAATGGAAGAGCCAAGGGAAAACCATTGTTGAGCTTTGGTTAGGGCAATGGAAGAGCCAAGGGAAAAACCATTGTTGAGCTGTGGTTAGGGCAATGGAAGAGCCAAGGGAAAACCATTGTTGAGCTGTGGTTAGGCCAATGGAAGAGCCAAGGGAAAACCACTGTTCAGCTTTGGTTAGGGAAATTGGGGATCTGTGCTTAGCGAATTATAGGGCCAAAGGGATAACAATTGTTTTGCTGTGCTTAGGGCAAGGGGGCAACCATTGCTGGTCTGTGCTTAGGGCAATGGAGGGGCCACAGGAAAACCATTGTTGAGCTTTGGTTAGGGCAATGGAAGAGCCAAGGGAAAACCATTGTTGAGCTGTGGTTAGGGCAATGGAAGAGCCAAGGGAAAACCATTGTTGAGCTGTGGTTAGGCCAATGGAAGAGCCAAGGGAAAACCACTGTTCAGCTTTGGTTAGGGAAATTGGGGATCTGTGCTTAGCGAATTATAGGGCCAAAGGGATAACAATTGTTTTGCTGTGCTTAGGGCAAGGGGGCAACCATTGCTGGTCTGTGCTTAGGGCAATGGAGGGGCCACAGGAAAAACATTGTTGAGCTGTGGTTAGGGCAATGGAAGAGCCAAGGGAAAACCACTGTTCAGCTGTGGTTAGGGAAATCATTATAGGGCCAAAGGGATAACAATTGTTTTGCTGTGCTTAGGGCAATGGGGGGGGGGGCAAGGGGGCAACCATTGTTGGTCTGTGCTTAGGGCAATGGAGGGGCCACAGAAAAACATTGTTGAGCTGTGGTTAGAGAAATAGAGGGGCAAAATTGTTGGTCTGTGCTTAGGGCAATGGAGGGGCCAAGGGAGAACCATTGTGCTTAGGGCAATGGGGGGGGGCAAGGGGGCAACCACTGTTGCTCTGTGCTTAGGGCAATGGAGGGGCCACGGGAAAACCATTGTTGAGCTGTGGTTAGGGAAATAGAGGGGGCAAAATTGTTGATCTGTTCTTAGGGCAATGTGGGGGGCCAAAGGAGAACCATTGTTGAGTTGTGCTTAGGTCATTGATCCATCTATGGAAAGGTATTACTACATGGTGATCACTTTGTGTAATTTGTGATGTAACTACAGAAGTTTTCTGATAATTCATCTTCCTATACAGGTTTCGGCACAATGGATCCCAAAGCAGTCAACCGCCAAGATTCACTGCATCAGTTTTAAGCAGATGTGCCAGGTTTTTGACCATAGACAAGATATGGGTCTACTGCTTTCATCCAAAAACATGGTAGCAGCAAACGTAGTCTTGGGGGGCATATGTTTTGGGGGCATCCCATTCATTTCTAGAGGTGAAAATCCTGCCAAAAGGGTACAGAGACAACAATAAAAACCTGTCAGAGGTTTTAAGCCTTCCCAACTCTAAAACAAAAGGCTAGAATTCTACTTGTAGCACCCTCCTAGTTAGAGTAGGCTGCAAGGTAAAATTAGTTAGCTCCTCGGTAAGCAGAGAAGCGGGGGTTGATTGCTTTGGGCTGTTGCGTGTCTCACATGCTGCTGTTCTGCTACTTCCCCGTCTTCTGGATATTTCCAGAAGTATAGTGGGAGGAAGAGCCGGACAAAGAGTCTGAATATTTATGGATCTCCGGCCAATCCCTGGGGAGGAGTACCCAGTTAGTGGCGGGAAAGCCCATACATGTTCTGAGGCCTGGCAGCCAAGGTGCAGAATTTTTGGGGTCCAGCCCTCTGGAGGAGATTCCAGAGCTGGGGGTTCTGCCCCTGGGGCAGAGGAGGAGAGATAGAGAGGCAGCTGAGGAATCTTGTGAAGACATCAAGGTCCCAGCTAGGCTTAGTTGGGGGCCTACCGAAAAAAGCCAGGGTGAGAGTCTGGATAGAGCCAGGAGAGCAGGAGTGAGGAAGCTCCAGTAGCAGTGCAACTAAGAGTTGTGCAAGACAGCCAGGAACGTTCTATACTGCCTGAGTGTGCCCAGTGCAGCCCGGAGCTGTGCAAGACAGCTAGAGGAATACAGTGCAATACAGACTACATTTTGTATAGACCAGGGGTCTCCAAACTTTCTAAAAAAAGGGCCAGTTTACTCTCCATCAGACTTTAGGGGGGGGCAGACTGGTCAGTGGGAGTTAACAAAATGCCTCAGTGGGAGTAGTGCCCTATCATTGGTGTCAGTGGGAGGAATAGTGCCCTATCATTGGTGTCAGTGGGAGAAATAGTGTCCCATCATTGGTGTCAGTGGGAGGAATAGTGTCCCATCATTGGTGTCAGTGGGAGGAATAGTGCCCCTTCATTGGTATCAGTGCAAAAAATAGTGCCCCATCATTGGTATCAGTGG